ATTAACACCAAGAGAGACGTTTCGAGGAGTCGGAACAGCATTTTTCTCGCTCGCCTACTAAACGAATCACTCAGCTACTTTTTTTTTACCACTAGGCACGCAAAAAAAAAGCGTCCACTTCTACTCACAATTATAATCACGCTTACGAGTAGGTAGTAGGAGTCATATTCATCGCAGAAGATAATTGGTAGTGCGACACGAGTGTCGGACGATAAAAACTATTTCGTAAGCTCTGAAATTGAGGGCAGTAGATGTTCAGTCAAATCAGTCGTGGCTGCATAGTTGAGTTGGACGTGTATGCAATTGTTGTTTAGTGCGAAAATTCGTCCACCATGTATCTCATCATACTAACGGTATTATTCCTGGGTTTGTTTACTTTTCACGTTAAGATGAGGTATAGCAGGGCTGGCAGATTAATTGACAAAATTCCGGGACCCACGCCACTTCCAGTACTTGGGAATTTGCTGGACATGAACGTGTCACCGGGTGAGTGGGTGTTACTTTTCAATCGGTGAATTCAATTTTGATAAAATCATTATTTATTCATCAGGAGATTTGTTTTACACATTGAGAGATTTGGCAAAACTTCCAATCGTAAAAGCATGGATGTTTTCGTATGCTATGGTGGGCATTAGAGACCCAGATGATTTGGAAATATTACGTACAAGTCAAAAGGCAATTTAAAAAAGCCATATTTATGGTTACATCGAGCCTTGGCTGAAGACTGGTCTTTTAACGAGTACAGGTTAGAGCTTAAGTTTACCTCATAAAAATTATACAGATACAATATTTTAATTCAATAAAGAAGGTGCTGAAACCGTACAGGAACTCTCACACATGACGTCCACTCTTACCGTGAATATTATTTGTGGTAAAAAAAACTATCGTTAAATGGTGGAAACGTATTATCAAAATAATTACTTAAATGTGTTTTGTAGAGTCAGCTAGGGGAGTTTCTCTAGATAAATTAGAAACTGAAAAAGTACAAGAGTATACCAGAGCTATTCACGACTTTGGAGGGTTAGTCATCCAAAGGTAAATAGTTCAGTTTCCGTGGTATTTTTTTTAAGAGCGGTGATGCCTTACGTACTCGATTTCATGATGTGTTCCTTGATAAAGGTTGGACGGTTACAAGTCAATGCTCTGAAAATTCTCCATAAACTTACAGATAAGGTACGGGATATGAATTATGTCAGGATAATAGCGTCTTTCATTCACCACCAACTTTTATTCTTCCAGGTATTAAAAGAACGAAGAGAATATCACATGATAACAAAAAATAAGTATTTACAAGAAGTTGATCATGATGATGACAACAGTGCAAAAGATACAGGCAATACTAGCATAGGTATAAAAAAAAAACCTCAATATAAAATTTAGTGAAAATAAAGTTTTACTTTTTATTCAAAATAAAGATACAGTCCTAAAATATATGGCCATTTCAGGAGCTAAGAAAAGGTTAGCGATGCTTGACCATTTACTGCTATCAGAAAAAAAAGGTTTAATAGATGAAAAAGGCATCAGATAGGAAGTTGATACATTAACTTATGAAGTGGGCAAATTTAAGTTTACTATCTTGGAACATAAAAATTGTAATAAAACTTATATGTGTATATATTATTTAAACATTTTGTAGGGTTACGATACAGCAAGTATGGGTTTGCTTTCTACTCTGATGTTACTTGCTGAGAACAAAGATGCGCAGGTAATTTTTTTTAAAGTAATCGCTAAGTTATCTTAAATTTGACAGTAGGTACACAATGAAGTGAACACAATATTTTTATTTTTAGGCTAGAGCTGAAGTGCTTAAGTCAGTAAACAAAAATAGCGGAAATTTTAACGTTTTCGACAACCAAGAACTCTCGTACGTGCAGTGTTGCATAAAAGAGTCACTTCGCCTGTATCCGTCAGTTCCCAGTGTGATTCGACATCTGACAGAAGATATACATCTGAGTAAGTCTTTTTTACATGAAAAGAGAGCAAAGTAATGGTTGCAGGCTAAAATAATATTTACATTACATAAGTATACACAGTGAGTTCATTCATTTAGAACACTTTGATAATCTACGAGTAAAAGGTAGTCAATTTTAAAGTATACGAAAAACAATTGAGTCGTAAAAAGAGACCTTATTTTTGGTAAAAAAAAATTGTGTTATTTAAATAGTTTATCAAATTAATAATGTTTACCTCGAGAATTTGATAAGTGACACGTTACGTGTGATAATTTGGATTGTAAGACGTGTAAACTTGAAAATTTATTTTATCTAGAGTTTGGAGAGATAAAGAATATAGGGCACAGATTATTACCAATAAACCTCTTAATAGCCTCGTACTTAATAAAAGCAGAAAATCGAAGGCTATGTCACTCCTATCAGCTGTGATAAAACTGCATAAAAATGATTTAAGTTGTGTAAACTTGAATACATTTACAGTTGCATAAGCTCAACAATAGCTATGTTCCTTGTGACTGTTCTACAAAGTTCCTTATCTAAATGTTGAAAGATTCTTGATAGGAGATCATGTCATCAGATGTTGTTATCCAATGTTGAATCCACTTAATTAGACGCTGAGGTGTACAATGTTGATAATCACGCTGTTTCTAGAGACTTTGTCAGAAATTTTATCTAGGTGTGAAAACACTCTAGACTTTATAACTTAATCGATCAAATATCGATTTAGTTTGGAGTGTATTCTAAAAATAGTGTCATCATCAACTTGATTATTGTCGATCGAGTACACCATTACTTCGTACCAAGTATATTAACACTTACATAATTAACTGTGTTTTCAATCGTTAGCAACAAAACTATCATTAGTATGATATACCTGAATTTAAACTTAAGTTAACAAAATATCCCACTACATCAGCTACTCTGTGCCCTGTTTAAGACTGAAATTTTTCGTTTTTAATACAAAAATAATTGTTGATTCCAAATTCTAGGTTTGTTATTTTGTTTTTCATTTCATGTCACTGCTAAAAAGAGAAAATTTTGATATCACTGATTTTTTTGTTTCGAATTTTAGTGGTTAAAAAAAACAATTAAAAAAAACAATTTTACTTGAAAAGCTCTTTTGTAAATTTTAAATCATAATTTCAAAAAATTTTGTATTAAAAAACTAGATTAAGTATACAGTAGTATATTTGATTGTGCATGTATATCAGAAAATATTAAATAGTAACAGTTTCTTAATTCATCGGGTAGATACTCAAAAAATAAAATATTGGACAAATATCTCGTTTTTGCTCGATCAACAAAAATTGACGGAGATATAATCGTCCTAGGTTTTGCACAACTTCATAGAGTACCATAAATTAGGTAATGTCCTAAGATCTTCTATCTTATTTTGAAACACTCCTTCGTTAGTTTTTTTTTTTTTTTTTTTTTTTTTTATCGATGAACCCGCAAAAATGATTACAGCCATAAAAGAAACCTATCACTCCTCGGATGACATGGTATACATAAAACGCGGAGCCACTACAAAATGTACGCTACTATTGATTTTCCCTTGAATTTTATTACCGGCTTGGCGCGTATATCATAAAAGTGACAAGATATCAGATCGGTGGTGATGATGATCACAGCTGACTTGCACATTTTTTACCATTACGCACTAGAGTGGAAAAAAACCGATTGCGTTTTGTTTACGCAATACGTTTCCAGTACACAACCATGTACCAACGATTTTCTGTAGTCGTAAAAAAAAACTAATTTATACGTTTTCTTGTCACGCATGTGGCTAATAAGCCTTTGACTTTGAACGCGCAGCAATGTCATGATCATGCGTGCGCTGGTAATTAAACGANGTGCTGATGTTATGTGCTTTTTCTACGATTTACACAGAGATCCAAAATTATGGCCAGAACCGGAAAAATTTGACCCTGATAGATTCCTGCCGGAACGTAGCGTAAAACGTCATCCATTCGCATATCTTCCTTTCACTGCTGGACCTCGAAACTGCATTGGTAATTCAATTTGTTACTAATAAAAAATATTTAAGTACGTCAATGTTGATAACAATTTTAATTAATCGTGTCATGACACATTTAGTCACATGTATCATAAAATTGTCATGTAAGCAGTTTGCAGTTTTGAAAAATTCTTCTAATACATAGATGCATGTTGAGAATAAATTATGAATCTTATAATTTTCAGGTCAAAAATTTGCCATGCTATTGCTGAAATCCATAGTTGCCCGAATTTTGTATAATTACTATTTAGAACCGATTGATAGATTGAGTGACGTTCGATTTACTGCCGACCTTATATTAAGACCAGCACATCCAGTCAATTTGAAATTTGTAAAAATAAATCACTAGCCAACATCATTAAATGGGTTCTTATTTTCCTTGCTCTTATTTTTAGCAAAGATACTGTAGCAAACAAAATATATCGTCTATAAACAAATAATTGGTCCAAGGTTTGTAAAATAACTTATCTTACGTGACCATGAATAAATTCTTATAAATGGGATAGTGAAAACACCAACATTCCAAGTTCTATTAACCAATAAACATGAAAGAAAGTCTTGTAAAGATTCTTGGTGCAACTGAAAAAAAACGATGGCAGCAAGATGAATACATAATTTAATTCATAATTTAAGAGCACTTGTTAATTATGTCATTTTTTTTTTTAAACCCACCGTCTTACTTCATTTTGTATAAAGCCTCGTCATGTTCACATACGACTTTACGATGCACTTTTGACCTTGTATTGACTAGAAATAACAGTTCTCTCTCATAAAAGTTCAATAGCATGCGATTAATGAAAGACGTCATTCAATGGCACTAAATAATTAATATTTGTGTAAAATTAACATTTTTTCTTTTCTTTTTTTGAAAGCCTTATCAAGTCTATATATACCTAATATTACAATGTATTTCTAGCTTTGCATTAACTAGAATACATAAAAATGTGACTATTAATCGATTTCAAATTTATTATTGCATACTAAATTTAAGAGTTGTCTAGTTTAGTCTGGTCCAGGTATCGCGTTTTCTTATGTCTTTACTGCTTGTCAACCTAGTGGATGGTGAACAACTAGAGAATTTCGTGGTGAAGTAATTCTTATCAGCTAGACAACAATAAAGCCAGACCATCAACACAAACTTTGATCAAACATTAAGTATCTTTTATACTTTAAATGTTGTCACTGTTGTAGAAAAAAATTGAGTATTCATTGTTCTTGAAAATTTCAAACATTGTTTCTAGATAAAAAATAATATGATAACAGATTGTTGAACCAAGAAAAAAAACGAAGTCGTAGAATATTCAAGCTCTTATGCGGTAATGTCGGTAAACAAATTCACAAAATTGGTTCTCCAACATTATAAGAACAATCGCTCTATTCCTTTTGTTATTTGAGAGAGCTGGTCTTTCACAATAAAGAGAATAGGAGCTTTATCTTTAAAAAATTTAAACAGTAACCTTTTTGCATAATTCACCTTGGTCAAGATGAAGTCATAGGTACACTAAGTCGTAAGCAAGTAGATATAGCAGTTGCTCCAAATAAGCTTTTTCATCTGTTTCCAAGACCTCCATGGTAAACGTTGAAATGACAAAATTGATAAAACTTTTTGTAACACACTACAAGGCTGATTGGTTCACAGAAGATATCGTATCTTTTCATCTCTCACTTTAGTGATGCTTTTTTCTCCTTATTGTGTGAAATAATGTAACTTTAGAATATGACGAAATTCATGAGACACCAAGACAGAAAAAAAAATTTTATCAGGCTTATTTTATCAGACACTTATTCACTGCGAGATTTTCTGTTGCTGCATCAAGAAATGAAATAGCTGGTCTTTTATAAATAAGTTAGTTGGTTATAGATTCCAAAAATAAGATGAACCACCCTTGCTTATTATTACAACAATCGTTTGTTGCCTCAAACCATGACAGTAGATGTTTTCCTTGAATTCTTAGTTTCAATATTACAATAGCTGCTTGTTTCTTTCATTCGAGAGATGGCTTCTTTATTTATTTGTTAGTAAGATAGCAGTTTCATTTTTGTACGACAGATAGCTGGGTCACGCAGTAAGTCGAATAATTGTCACTCATCGAAATGTTTGTCTTACTGTTTACTTAAGATACGATAAAAAATAAAGTTTAACTGATGTTTCTTTGTCTTTGAAAACTTATATAGCCTATTCAAAGTAATTGTTTTCATTCTACTTTTTGGCTTACAATAAAATGATAATATACACACACACACACACACACACACACACACACACACACACACACACACACACACACACACACACACACACACACACACACACACACACACACACACACACACACACACACACACACACACACACACACACACACACACACACACACACACACACACACACACACACACACACACACACACACACACACACACACACACACACACACACACACACACACACACACACACACACACACACACACACACACACACACACACACACACACACACACACACACACACACACACACACACACACACACACACACACACACACACACACACACACACACACACACACACACACACACACACACACACACACACACACACACACACACACACACACACACACACACACACACACACACACACACACACACACACACACACATACACACACACACACACACACACACACACACACACACACACACACACACACACACACACACACACACACACACACACACACACACACACACACACACACACACACACACACACACACACACACACACACACACACACACACACACACACACACACACACACACACACACACACACACACACACACACACACACACACACACACACACACACACACACACACACACACACACACACACACACACACACACACACACACACACACACACACACACACACACACACACACACACACACACACACACACACACACACACACACACACACACACACACACACACACACACACACACACACACACACACACACAT